ATTAATTGGGAAAAATAACAAACCCAGAATTGCCAAAGCTATCCTTACTGAAAAAAACAAAACAGGAGGTATCACAATACTGGACCTCAAATTATACTACAGAGCTATGGTAACAAAAACAGCATGGTACTAACATCAAAACAGGCATGAAGACCAATGAAATATAAGATACAGAAACAAACCCACATAAACATAGTTATGTGATACTAGATAAATGTTCCAAAAGCAAATGTTGGAGAACAAATGGCCTTTTTTTAATAAAAGGTGCTGGGAAAACTGGAAATCCCTATGTAGAATAATGAAATTTAACTTCTTTCCCTCACCAGGTACAAAAGTCAACTCAAAGTAGATCAAAGACCTAGCAATTAGATCAAAAACCCTGCAACAACTAGAAGAAAATGCAGGCCCAACCCTCTAAGACATCAGCACAGGAAGCAACTTCCTTACAAGATACGTAAAGCATAAGAAACGAAATGAAAAATCAATATGTGTGATAGCATCAAACTAAAATGCATCTGCACAGCAAAGGAAACAAGAGTATGAAGAGAGAGCCCACAGAAAGGGAGCAAATCTTTGCCACCTGCTCCTCAGATAAGGTGTTGATATCCAGAATATATAAAGAATGAAAAACACCTAGGATCAAAAACAAACAACAAGGCTGGGATTGTGACTCAGTGATACAGCACTTGCCTAGCATGTGTGAGGCACTGGGTTCAATACTCAGCACCATATAAATAAAGATATCATGTCTATCTACAACTAAAATATTTTAAAAAATAACAAAATCAACACATGAGCAAAAAAAAAAAACAGATACTCATTGAAAGAAGAAATACAGATGTTCAACGAGTATATGAAAAAAAATGTTTCAACATCTCTAGAAATTCTAGAACTGCAAATTAAAATTACATTATGATTATATCTTACTCCATTCAGAATGGCAATTATCAAGAATACAAATAACAATAAATATTGGGGAGGATGTACATTGAAAAGTGCACTCATATAATGTTTGTGGGACTGCAAATTAGTATAACCCCTCTAGAAAGCACATGAAAATTTCTGAGAAAGCTATGAATGGAACCACTATGTGTACTTGACAGTACATGCCCAGATTTACAGCATACTGCAATGATGCAGCCACATGTTTATAGAAGCAAAATTCACAATAGCCAAGCTACAGAACAAACCAAGATACCCTTCAACAGCTAAAGGGATACAGTGGCCTTCTTTGTCTCTTTTGATTAATTCTTCCTAGAATCTGCTTTGTCAGGTATGAGAATAGCTACTCCTTCTTGTTTTTATGGTCCAAATGAGTGAAATATTTTTTCAATACTTTTACCGTTATCATGTTGATGTCTTTGCCTATGAGTCCCTCACAAATAGCACATAGATGAATATTGCTTTTCAATCCATTCTGCTAATCTTTGTCTTTTAGTTGGGAAGCTGAGAGCATTAACATTCATCATTAATATGGATTTGTGTTTGGGTTTCCTGACATTTTGGTTTTTTGCTCCATTTTTTCCTATCTTGATTCTAATTTAGTGGGTTATTCTTCTATTGAACTTCCTTTTTGAGAGCTTTGGATTGTTTTTTAGTTTCTCTATGTGCAGTTTGTCTTTGAGTTTTCTTTGTACTATTGCTGGCTTGATGCTCATGATTTTTTTTATTTTATTTTTATCATGAAAAGTTTTTATCAACACTCATGAATCAATAGCTTTCCTATATTCCAACAATGATTCTGCTGAGAAAGAAATAGTAAAATTACTCCTCTCACAATAATCGTAAAATGTAAAATACCAGAGAATTAAACTATTCAATTCAGTAAAAGATCATTACAATGAAAATTATAGAAAATAGAAGAAAGAAATTGAAGAAAACCTTAGAATATGGAAAGACTTCTCATGTTCTTAGATAAGCAGAATTAATATTGTCAAAATGGCCATATTACCAAAAGTGTTATAGAGATTCAATGCAATTCCTATCAAAATACCCGTGACATTCTTCACAGAACTAGGAAAAAAATAGTTCATTCATTTGGAAGATTAAGAAACCCTATAATAGCCAAAGTGATCCTGAACAAGAAGAGCAATGCAGAAGGCATCACAATACCTGATTTGAAATTATACTACAAAAGTATAGTAACAAAAACTGCATGGCATTGGCATCAAAATAGATGTGAAGACAAATGAGACAGAACAGAAAACATAGGGACAAATCCATGTTCTTAAAAGCATCTGTGAGTTCACAAAGGTGTCAAAAATATACATCAGAGAAAAGATGGCCTTTTTAACCAATGCTGCTGGGAAAACTGAAAATTCATATGTAGAAGAATGAAACCAGATCCCTCTCACCCCACGCAAAAGTCAAGTCAAAATGAATCAAAAACTTAGGAATTAGACCACAAACATTGCAGGTGCTAGAAGAAAATAGAGTCAACCCACCAACATACTGGTACAGGTACCAACTTTCTTAACAAGACCCCAAAAGCTCAAGAAATAAGTTCAATAATCAATAAGTGGGATGCCATCAAACTCAAAAGCTTCTGCAAAAAAGGAAATGATTAAGAGTGTTAAGAAAGCCCATATTAATGGGAGAAAATCTTGGTCAGCTACTCCTCTATCAGGAAATTAATACATATAGTATACATAATATTAATATATAAAAAAAACTAAAAAAACTAAACATCAAAAAGCCCAAAAAATCCAATTAATATATTGGCTAGGGGCTAGGGTTGTGGCTCAGTGGTACAGTGCTCACCTAGCATGTGCAAGGCCCAGGGTTTGATTCTCAGCACCACATAAAAATAAATAAACAAAATAAATGTATTGTGTACAAATAAAAGATAAATATTAAAAAAAAATTAAAGAACTAAACAGACATTTATTAAAAGAAAAAACACAATGGTCAACAAATACATGAAAAAGTGCTCAACATCTCTATCATTTAGGGAAATGCAAATCAAAATTACACTAATATTTCATATTACTCTAGTGAGAATGGAAATTACCAAGAATACAAATAATAGTAAATACTGGTGAGACTGTGGGGATAAAGGTATACTCATACATTTTTTTTTGGGACTACAAATTAGTACAACTACTCTGGGAAACCAGATGGCAATTCCTCAAAAAACTAGAAATGGAATCACCATATGACCCAGCTATCCCACTCCTTGGTACTTATCCAAAACATCTGAACTCAGCAAATACAATGATACAGTCACTTTAATGTTTATAGCAGCACAATTCACAATAATCAAATTATGTAATCAGCCCAGATGCCCATCAATAGATGAATGGATTAAGACAATGTGGTCTGTATGCATAATGGAGTTTTACTCTGCCATAAAGAAGAATGAAATTATGGTATTTGCTGGTAAATGGATAGAGGTGGAGAACATGATGCTAAGTGAAATAAGCCAGACCCTGAAATCAAGGGTAAATGTTTTCTCTCGTATGTGGAAGCTGGAGCAAAATAAGGAAAAGAGGAGGAGGAATAGAAATACCATAAAAATACAGTGAAGTCGAAGAAAGAGACTGAGAGGGAGTTAACAAGGACTAGAAGGAAAGGAAACGCAGAAATGAATTTACAAAATCACACTATGTGCTTGTATAAATTTACCACAGGGAATTCCACCTTTATGTATATGTAGAAATCAAAAATTTAACAAAAATAAATAAATAAATGAGCCAAAGGAAGATCAGTAAAGTAGAGGTAGGAGAATAAAGGAAGGAAGAAGGGAAGGGAAAGAGGGGCAACAGGAACTGAAATGGAGCAAATCAAATTCCATGCAGGTATGATTTTTTTACCTAAATGAACCCAATTTCTATGATATGTATACACACACACACACACACACATATATATATATAAAATATATATATATATATATATATATACAATTTTATATACATGTTATCTATATGTATACATATATTATTTAGTGAAAATTATCATTAAATAATCATGTAGTTGTGAATTAACACAAGGCACTACCACCTACTCTTATCAAACCAACAACTTTTTTAAAGGATGTATTGTAGCAGAAACTGATTTAAAAATTAAGAAAACAAATGCACCAGAATTCAGTTTCCTTACTGGCTCAGTCATTCTGATTGTGCACTAACACTCAATGTGTTCCCTTAAAAATCTGCAAAGGATCGATTCACACGTTCAGACATATTCTTCTCCCCTAACTTAAATATTTATGCACACATGTGCACATATGCACATACATATCCATATTATAATTACATATTTTTAAATAGATATATAAATACATGTGTTGGTTATATTCCTTTTATGTACATATATATACATATAGAAAGACTACCATGTTTTTGTAGCCTTATTTATTTATGCCATTTTAAATAAAATATATAGTAAAAGAGAAACCTGACATTTGATTGGAAAATAAATGAGCAAAAACCTGCTGAATACAAAGGGAATGCCCCCAAAACACATTATTTTGAAAAATACTGATCAAAAGAATGTAAGAATTTTATAAGATTATTAACTTTTATATTCTATTAAAATTTTACTATAAATAACTCCCCTTTAAATAAATAAAGCACCATTTTAGAACCATCTATGAGTATTTTTAATGGTTTTCTGGGGAAGGCATTACCCTTTATTTTTAAAGTAAAATTATATTACAATAAATTTTATCTTCATTTATGAATTTAAGCCTTCCTTTTAAAAAGTCAAAACTCATGATTCTGAATATGTTTTTTAAAAACACATTTTATTTCAAAATGCAATAGCCTTTATTTTTTAATTACTACATTTTAGGATAACTGTTTGAAGTCAGTTTCCTGCTTTGCAACATCAATTTTTAAAAAGCTATGGGTCTTAAGTGAAAGAATATAAATTAATGCTACTCCCCACTGATGGGTTTGAATATATAACTTGTTATTTAAAAGAAAATAACATGTATTAAATTTCCTATATGAAGTTAAATCCAAAATTGCAGTATGTATTCCATTCTCATTGTGTACCTTTATTTTTGCATCAATGCCATATTTTTCTTTTTTCCAATGTGCTTCTTGGTTCCTTAGTTTCTCCAGGTCATTTAACAGGTCAGTGCAGCGAGTACTCAATTTCTCATTTTCCTCCTCCAGATTTTTTATAACCAGCCTGTTTTGCTCTTCTTTATTCTGTACACATTCCTTAGTGTCCTGTAGAACAGTACCACAAGGGCCGATAAACAACAACAACAACAAAAAAGGTGAGAACTAATCAGCAAATATAAACTGTGCAGTTTCACCCTCACAGCAGCTTCTTCTATATTTGATGGCCAAGGTCACCTGTGTACTTTTATTGGCCTCTTTTCATGCAGGTGGATGGGTCATATTTTTTCACTGGATGACAGCTTTGATGAGTACACATTTGCAAAGAGCCCATTAATTGATCAAGCTGCCTTTGATGCTGTCCCCAGCTATTTTTGAGACCCACACAGATATATCCTCCCAGACCTGGTTTTATCAATTAATAATGCCAGTCCCATCAGAATCTAATTACTAGAAGCCACATATTCACACTCCTACTTTCTTAGCTCCATTTCCATCATTAACTATTTATCTGAAAGTTATAAAGCTTGGAGTCTTAGCTTTAAAGCATTTTTCTCTGAGTTTTTGCATGTGAGAAAACTGTATGGTACAGCAGGTCCTTAGGCAATTTTTTCATCCAAGCTTGTCACTTTCTGTGCCACAAAGGGTAAAGCAAGACTTCAAAAAAAAAAACACTCCTATGAAACTATGTTCAAGTCAATACACCTTATATTCTTGACTTTTATCTTTAAATTTCTTCTGCAAGTCATTGAATTCTTTCCTCAAGAAAGTATATTCTTCATCTACTGAAATCTTCTGTTGTAGAAGGTCATTTATTTCCTCTTTTAGTACTGATTCTTTCTGTAGAAAAATAAATAAATTATTTGTGAGCTGGTATGTCTAAGAAAATGTTTGGATTTTAATTTTTAACAATGTTATAATATTAACTAACTTTCATAAAAAAAGTCTATCATAATTCTTATTTATGACCTGCTCGTTGATTTTCAACTAAAACAGGCAAATAATTAACAGTTTCATTAAAATGGGCTACTGTTTAATAGTTTAAGATGAAGAACACAAAAAAACCTGGACACTAAATATTAAGCCACACCGAGAAAGCAAACTTTCAGTATTCAAGTACAAAACAGGGGGAAAAAAAGTAAAGCATTCTAATAATAAATATGTATGTATCACTAAAATAAGAATTACTATTCTCTTATTTGAATATCATTTGGAAAACTTAAAAAAGCACACACAAAAAACACCTCATGAAAATGTAAGTCATTTAAAGAATTAAGAATAGCAGTTTGTCTCAGTACTAAAAATACCTTGCTCTCTACACAAAATACTCAGAAGATTGCCATAATTTTTAGCTAAATATTCTTCTCACCAGCAATATGTAAATGATACCTAACTGGTGGCTGTAACCATGACTCAATTCTTGGCATCAATCTTTTTTTATATGGCTTTTCTCTCAGAAAACTTACCCCTTCTCTTGCCATGTATTACTCTGTATGAAAGAGTAATCCATCAACCGAGACTCTTCCAATCACCAATCTCATATTTGCAACTTTCAATAAAATACTTCCACTGAGATTGCCTGTGGCTACTTCAAACTAGCATGCTAAAACCAAAATTCATATTCTGATAATCTTTTCTAGATTTCATCAACTTCTGTCAACCCATCCATGCTTTCAACTAACTAAACACTATCTGGCCTGACGTGCTTATTTGAAGCTTCCAATTAAGACTCAACAGCTCCATCTGTCAACGAAGAAGCAGACACATCAAAATAGAAAGTTTTTTTCTATTTTTAAGTAATATGCTCAGTAGAAACTAATAGTTATGCCATGTCTGACCTATCATTGATGCTGATCCATAAATATCAATTTATTTTGTACTACTGTATTTATTCTTTATCAAACCCTCTCAGAAGAACTTAAGGTTGACATGGATATGAGAGTAAGACTGAGGGATGTGATGAAAAGAGGGTGAGTTTAAGGAATAAAGAAAGGATAGCTCTAATGTCTAATTTTTTAAAGCTGTAATGTTAATATTTTACTTTTACTAAAATAGTTTAGGTACTAAACACACATAAAATTAATCTGTGGCAAGTAGGTTAAGAATAAAGAAAAAGATTTTTTAAAAGGAGCTTTGTATCCAGCTAAGAAATGCAACCATTATCTTTGATATCTTACCCTCTAACACCTCTTATTCCACCACTCCAGAGGTAACCCCTATCCTTAAACTATTTTTTATCTTTCTCTCATTTTTCTTTATAGTTTAAAAACATAATATGCATATTTAACACATAGTTTCTTTTTTAACTGAATACACATTAAATCATAGTATACATATTCTGTGTCTCGCTATTTTTGTTCAAAATATATTCCCAAATTGATCCATATTGATGGACATAGCTTCAGTTTGATTACTGTGGTATATATTTTGATTCAATGATATAAATACACTATATTTCTCTCTTGTCAATGTATCTTTCAGTTGTTTTCCACTCCAGGGAAAAAGTTTTACAAACAACAGAGCTATAAACACTCTCAAACATCTCCAGGAACATATAAGTAAGATTTCTTCCCAAGCAGTATTTTTCAAACTCAGAACTATCATCTAGTAATAGGTCATTAAGTCAAACCAGTCATTAAATCAGCATTTTCTTTAAAAAATGAAATATAATTCAGTAGAAAATATCAAAATGAGATGCACAAATTCTTAGCAAAAACATGATGTCTATAAAAATAAACATACAAAACAGGCACACTATATAAGTTAAAATTTTGCCTACATTTTTGTAATGTTTAATTTGAAATTATTATTTTATTAAGCATTATGAAATTCACATTTTATATAAATTTTGTTGAATGTTTATTAGGTGTAGTAAGGACAACTATTATATGAAACTTTCATTCCATGTTTGTCTATACTGAGTCATGACAGGGTCACATTAATAAAAGTCTAGGAAACACTCTATAGATCATATATACTTAGAGATGAAATTGCTAAGAAATAGGCTATATGCACTTCAAAAGTTCCTATCACTCTATATCCCCACCAACATTTAAGAGGAAGGCTGAAGGGATTTTTACAAATCCTGTAAGTATAAATGGAACCTCAATGTAGTTTTTAATTTTGTATTTCCTGTTTAATTAGTAGGTCATAACAAAATGTGTATGACATTGCTCAAACAGCATAAAAATAGATAACATAAATGGCCCATCCACAAGTCAGAGTCCATTCTTCTATTCCCATCTAAGTCTTATCCTTTTTGAAGATTCAGCTTGCAGCTCCTTTCACATTCATGAAGGTTTCTACAACTAGCCCACCTATTTTATAATTCTTGCCTTCTCTAACTTTGTACATTTCTTATATGATTCATTTGACATATAATGTACTATCTATTCTTGCTGATTATCTCTAAATACTCTTTATCTTTCAAATAGGATTAGTAAGAATTTACAGATGAGATTTATACTGAATGATAAATTCAAAGATGCAAACATTAAGACTATTTTAAAAACATCTATACAGCTATTACTCTAAGGAAGAATGTCCCTCTTCTGGAGTTTATTTAGATTCTAGGACAGACAGACACTAAACAACTGACTTAAAAGTTTTAGCATGGTTTTGGAGCTGGGGTTGTGGCTCAGTGGTAGAGCACTTGCCTAGCATGCATGAGGCACTGGGTTTGATCCTTAGCACCACATAAAAAAATAAAATAAAATGAAGGCATTAAAAAAAAAAGAAGGTGTTTAAAAAAAGGTTTTAGCAGGGTTTTCCCATTAAACTGAGCTAAACTTAACAAGCACTAACAATAAAAGTTTAGCGCATTAATGAATTTGGTAATTTATAAGGAAAAACAAATAAAATGAATGAGGTAAATGAATGAATGAATAAGGTGAGTTAAATAAAACTATCATTCTAATACTTTTACAAATGTAAATATATTTTATAATTAGTAATGTTACACAAAGCGGTTATGCAATATGGTGAGATAAGCAAAGTAAGCAAAATGAGATGTTACTTTGTTTTATAAAGTAATGTTATACAATGTTACATCTGTATAACATAACTGATTATACAATATAACATTTTAATGAAGAGGAATAATATCAGTTTATCACAGTTTAATTCAGAAAATTGCTAAATGCTTGAAAAGTCTGTAGAATTCAACATATTTTCCTAATGAAATGTACTCTTAATGATCTACTTTAAATAATGAAAGCACAGGTATATACAGTTAAAAATCATTTTAAAATTAAGCTTTATAAAACTTTTTTCAACAAACCTTTCTGGATAGAGCAAATTCTTAATGGTCTAGCTTGAACTAATATTAAAATAACAAACAGAGCTCAGAGGAACCATAAAGCATACAGAGTGACAAGAGAAAGTATGTCTGGAACAAATAATTTATATGGATAAGCCAATAAATGAATAATTCAAATCATGGTTAAGATAAATCTATAGAGAAAGAAGAAAATAATAGGACAAATCGGGGAAGGAGAAGAGGCAGGGAGGACAATAGCATAAGACCTAAAACTTTACCAGGTAATACTGGAGCATAGTTAATTTATTATTGATACTGACCTACTTTCAAAGTGGATGGGAACGTTTTAATTTAAGAAAATAATGAAATTACAACTAAAATAATGGTAAATGAAGACAGGAAAAGGGTTAAGAAAAATAATTGCAATTCAAAACCAAAATTTATTTCTCAGATTCCTACAAAGGTAAGAAAAAAATAAATACAATGCTAAAGAGCAACTGTCATTTAATTAAATGCAATACACTAAGTTATCAAAAGTCATGTTATTTAGTTGAATAATAGAAGAGAAATTTATTAAATCACTTATTTCATAACAGTGACAAAGCTAAAGCATAGTCTTCATAAAAGAAATGTATGGCAATTCTTTACACTATTACCAATAAAATGCAAGTGCTGGGGCTGGAGTTGTGGATCAGTGGTGGAGCACTTGCCCAGCATGTGTGAGACACTGGGTTCGATTCTCAGCACCACATAAAAATAAATTAAATAAAATAAAGGTATTGTGTCCAACTACAATATTTTTTAAAAATGCAAGTGCCAACATTTGATGGCACTTACATGAAGGTTTTGCTGCAACAGGCTTTAAAAAAATCATAACTTTCTAACAAATTTGACTAGTTAAGACTTAAGCTAAAGGAATTGTCATTCTAATTGCTATTCTAATCTACAAATTATAAGCTAATCTATTTAATATTATTCAGTAGAGCAACAAAAACCTAATAGAAACCCAGCATGGTGGCTCATGCCTGTAATCACAGCAGCGTGGGATGCCAGGGCAGGAGGATCGAAGGTTTAAAGCCAGCCTCAGCAACTTAGCAAAACCCTGTCTCAAAGTCTCAAAATATGGCTCAAGCGGTAGCGTGCTCACCTAGCATGCATGAGGCATGGGATTCTATTCTCAGCACCACATAAAAATAAAAAAAAGATATTGTGTCCACCTAAAACTGAAAAATAAATATTAAAAAAAGTCTCAAAATAATAAATAAAGGGCTGGGGATGTTGCTCGGTGATTAAGCATCCCAGGATTCAATCCCTGGTACAAAAAAAAAAAAAAAAAAAAAAAAGACCTAATGCAGGGACTTCCATTTTCTAATTTAGCATGTAATCTTGGAAGCTGTATCTCCATTCACACAAGAAAAGAAAAATAAATAAATAAACAAACTGAAAATCCACAATGTTTAGAGTCATCAGAGAAGTAAGGTCACTGGACAAAGCAATATTTCCAAAATTGAAGAGAGAAGTAGATATGAGAATAATAATTGACCAAAGCAGAAGACAAGGAACAGAAAACTCCATGGGAACCAGTATCAGGATAGGAAAACCTATGTATAATTAGCTAATTAATGGAGGAACTACGTGGACATATTTGAGAGTTAAAAACTCCAAGAGAGTCTGGACTTTGGGGGCAGGTGCACATTTTCATGAGTTTTACCTATAGGAGCTTTATCAGGCTGTCAAAGGGAAGACTGGTGAAAAATACCTTCCTGCTGCCAGCAGGCAGAAAGGAAGAGTAGCCATTTAAAAACATATAGCACATTCTTTACTTTTTAATAAGATCTGCTCTCAAGAGAAACTGTTTACCAGAGCCCAGCCTAACAGGATTTTGCCACAGCATAATTAATCTGGAAAAAAGAAATATCTAACCCCAACAGCCTCCAGCCTTCCTAGCTCTCCTAAGGAAAGAAACAAAATGGAGAAGCAATTATGTAGGTAAAAGTACAGAGGCACTCTTAACCAAAAGACTGAGACCTAATTATAATACTATAGAATACTTCTTCTTTTCCCCCAAGCCTCACCACCACATCAATAGGGCTCTGATAAAATAAAAGGGCAATACAAATGAAAGAATTATGCATGTCAGAAAATATTTCAAAGTCTCAGAAGTCCAGAGAAATTCAAACAAAATTAAGGCCACCAAAGAAACATTTAATCTCTAACACCTACCACTACAACAAACAGTAGACACAGCATAATCCCTAGGGTGATAAATACAAAACCTCACGATAAAGGACTATTTACATCAGTTCTTTTTACTCATTTGGCTAACTTTATGTTTCAGTTTGGCTAGGCTATGGTACTCATAGTATCCAATGTAGATGTTGTGATGAAAATACTTTTAAGATGTGATTAACATTTAAATTAGTGGACTTTGAGTAAACAAGATTAGCCTCAATAATGTGGGTTAATCATACCCAATCAACTGAAGGACCTAAAAAAGTCTATGGTTACTGAAGAAGAAAGGAATTCAACCTTCCGTTTCCCTTAGGATTTGCACTATAACATCATCTCTTTACTGCATCTCCATTCTGCCAGCTGGCCTTGTAGAATTCAAACTTGTTACCCCATAATTGTGTGAGTCAATGACTTAAAATAAATGTCCCTTAGCAAATAAAAGGGGAAAATAAATCATCATTTATGAAAGCCAATATATTTTTAATATAATGCTATAGCTTCTACATTAAACTAAAGAATGTTCATTAAAGCATTGCAAACTTAATGTTAAAGGATATTAAAAAAGTGCCAAAACTCTAAACAAATTAAAATGTTATTTTTAAAATGCTATTTTTATAGTATCAATTGTGATATTTTGTATACGGAAAATACAACTTTTGTTATGGTATGAAGAATCCTCCAAAAGCTATTGTTAACTCAGAACACTCACAGGTGAAAAGAAGAGGTTATGAGAGCTCTCACATAACCTAATCAGTCTATACCAGCTTGAATTAACTGACTGGGTGGTAACTATAAGCAGATGGGGTATGACTAGAGAAGGTGGATCACTGGGGGTATGCCCTCAAAGAATGCAACTTCCCTATGGCTTCTCTTTGCAAATCCCTTCTCTGCTTCCAGACTCTTGCCATGGACTAAGCAGCTTTCCTCTGTTGGGCCCGTCATCTATGAACAGAGACCTCTGAAACCACTAGCCTCAAATAAACTTTTCCTCCTGTAAGTTGTTCTTGTCTGATATTTTGGTCACAGCAACAGAAAAGCTAACTAAAACAACTCTATAGAAGATATAAGAGTCAAATTAGTATGTCATATTGGGATATACATCCCATTGTAGAATTTATATGAATGTAGAGAAAGGGAAAATAATTGAATGTCTTATTGAAGTTAGTTTCAACATTCAAAATTTTAATAGAACAATTTTATAATAATAACCAATCTTAGCTTCAAGTTCCCATGACCCTTTAATTGTTAGGAAAGAAAATAAATAAATATCAGAACAGCATGGTTGCCAAAAAGCTACTTCTATTTAATCCAAAAACAGATTCTTTCACTGCTGCTTTTAAGACGTCTGCATTTTAAAAATGGTTCCGGGGCTGGGGTTATGGCTCAGCGGTAGAGCGCCTGCCTCACAAGTGCGAGGCCCTGGGTTCGATCCTCAGCTCACATAAAAATAAATAAATAAAGTAAAGGTATTAAAAAAAATGGTTCTTAGAAGCACTGCCCACACACACTGTTGCAATAATACTATACCAATTTATACAGTTACACATAATTAATCACATATTAACTAAATTGTATAACTTGCTGATTATATATATAATATAGGCTTAAACTAATTCAAAAATACACATTTTCAAATGATGAAATAGATTTATACAAGTTGTTGTTCATCCTTTATACAAATAATACCATACGCATATTTATAAGTTTCACAGGTTAATGAGTGCTAATAATAAAAGACAAAATTCAATAAATAATAGGTAAATACTACTATAAAACTCACATTACCTAAAAGTTTAAACAAATATATATCTTAGCCTACTAATTCAGAAAACAAAGAATAGGCTATATGCACAATATAAAAATAGACTCACTACAGTGATTTCAAAATAGTAATGCTTTAATGTAACCACCTGGATATTCTTAATGAACATTATTGCAAAAAATTAATAGTATTAAAGATCTACTACCTGGGGGCTGAGGTTGTGGCCCAGCAGAACCTAGCACATGCAAGGCGCTGGGTTCAATCCTCAGCACCACATAAAAATAAAAACCAATTAAAATAAAGATATTGTGACCAACTACAACTAAAAAAAAAAAAAAATCTACTACCTGAAGTAAATATATTGATTTTTTAAACATTTTATTATAACACTAACCTGTTCCAATTCTTGTATTTTAGCATCCTTGACTTGCAGAATTTCTAGAACTTTTCTGTCTTTTGCTTCAGATTTTTGTTTTTCTCTAGAAAGAAAAAAAATTAATAGTTTATTAATCATAATTTCTAACTAGTCCTTTAAATATTCATATCCTGATAATGAATATCACTTTAAGAGATAAGAAATTAAATTATCTTGGGTTGACAGCCCTTTCAGAATTAATCAGAAACCATATGGCAAATGACAACAACTTACAACTGCTGACAACCAAAACAACTTCATATTAAAAGAACAGTTTCAGGGCTGGGGATGTGGCTCAAGCGGTAACGTGCTTGCCTGGCATGCGCAGGGCATTGGGTTCGATCCTCAGCACCACATAAAAATAAAATAAAGATGTTATGTCCACTGAAAACTTAAAAATAAATATTAAAAAATTCTCTTTCTCTTTAAAAAAAAAGAACAGTTTCATTTCCAAATTTATGTATATCATCAAAAATGTATATATTGTTTAACATTGAATGCAATGACCAAAAGGTCATCACTTTTAAACTAACTAACAATAAAAAGTAAACATATTCATAGTAATATAGGCATTTTATACACGTAATTAGATTAGAATAAAATAGTATCATTTTTAAAGTAGGATTTTCAAAGGAGAGACAGATTTACTAATTATCAATATTCTATGAGTAGAATTTTTTAATTTTTGACAACTTCTTATACATTCCTAGCCTCTGAAAATACTACTACCTAAACTAAATAGTAATTGTATAATCAAAGCATAATCCTTTGGGAAATAGAAAATTACAATACATGTAAATAATGATAATCATTTTAAAATAGAAAGCTTTAAATATGCAAAGGAGGAGAAGGAAAAGGAACAAAGATTGGAAGAGATTATATAATCAAGCTGATACTGTTTAATTTATATCAAAAATGATAAGAAATCTTCTGGACACAGAGTCATAATTAAAAAAAAACAAACTTTATAAATAGGTAAAGAAAATAGGAATCTGTGCCTAAATCACCCATATATCATAGAATTTACAGACAAGGAAGAAAGAAAAAAAGTAAAGAAACATAGCTACGACCCTGAGGATCACAAACTAAGCAGAAATACAAAGCTATGAATGGGGATGAAGAGGTTATTTGCTATCCTCCAGGTCCAGATGTGGGCTGAAGTGAAAAGGAGCTTGGTTTCTGGAAATAATGAAAAACAAATTGCCTTGCTCATATGTCGAAGAATAATCAAGCTCATAATTTGAAAGTAAGCCTAGGGTGGAGTTCATAACTCAGGAAAGGAGACTGCAGAAAGCTTCTGAATACACTTGCTGGGAACTAAGACTTTCATGAAAGCCTAAAATGGCAAAAGTTTATAATAGATATGGCACCCCATTCAGGGATTGGACCAAAGTACCCTGTTGCTGAGGCACTAAATACAGCAGACCTCTATGTCACTGTTGACCAAGAGCCCCAAGTTACCAATATAAAGCCTATTTCATGAAGGGTTTCTGGGTGAGGTTGACAAATCAGTGGCAACCATAAAATATCTACAGAGAAAAAGAGAAGTAATAGTAAAACATAAAGGGAAGAATAACAATTCAATAATATCTATTGAGCATTTATTGTAAGACATGCACTGGCCCAGGGATTAGAGACACTACAGAAAACAAAATACCAAAAGATTGACCTCATGAAATTAATATTTTAGTAAAGAGATACTGAAAATAAAGATATATAAGTGAATACATAGCCTGTCAAATGGCTATAAGTATAATAAGGAAAATAAATTAGGATAGCTAAGAAAGTGATGGCAATAAGCTTCCTTTCATTCCCAAGTAAAGTGAAAGGAAGAGAAAGCAAACTTGTAAAGCAAGCTTAACAAATGACTCCCTTTAATATTTGAGTAAAGATCTAAAGAAAGGAAGTGAGAGTCATGCAGATCTCAGAGAGAAGTTTTTTCAAACCACCAGACTAGATTCAAGTACAAAGACACTGAACATACAGAATAGAACACATCCCTTATCCACAGGCCCTGTGTTCCAAAAACTACCCTCCATAGATGCCCAAAATCACAAGATAACACCAGACTCTATATATGATGTTTTTCTCCTTACACATACATATCTATCATAAAATTAATGTATAAATTTGGCTCAGAGAGAGATTAACAATAACTAAAAATAAATAGAACAATTATTTTTTAAACATTTATTTTTTAGGTGTAGATGGACATAACACAATGCCTTTATTTTTATGTGGTGCTGAGGATCAAACCCGGGTCCTGCACGTGCTAGGCAAGTGCTCTGCCGCTGAGCCATAACCCCAGCCCTAAAACAATTATATTAATGTAACTATAATAGAAGTTATATAAATGTGGTTTCTATGTTTATTCTTGGGATTTTTCTACTAATATTTTGGGAACACACTTGACTATGGGTAACTCAAACCATGGAAAGCCAAATCACAGATAAGGGGAAACAGAGGAACTACTATAATTGATATATTCAAAGAACAGCAAAGAAGTAAATATATTTGTAGTAGAGTGAACAAGTGAATGGTAGCTGAGAACAAATTGGTCACTGGGCATAATATGTGCCCTTTTAAGCCCCATGAAATGTGAATCTGATTTTAAGTGAAACAGTAGAGCACAGGACAGTTTTGAGCCAAGAAATAACATATTACAAATTGACAGTTTATGAGTATCATACTAGTTATTCAGGTTGAGGACAGACTGTAAGGGTCAAGGATGGAAAGAAAAGCTATTAGGAAGCAATTGCAATACCCCAGAGGAAAGACACAGGTGAAATGAATAAGACAGTAAGTGTGGTGATACTGAAAACTGATAAAATTCTAGATATTCTGAAGGTAGAACTAACAGGATTTCCTAGTGCTTTAGACATGTAAAAGAAAGAGAAAAGTCAAGAATGTCTCTAAGGCTTTTTTGCCTGGGCAACTAGAAGGATGGAATAAATATGATTTTAAATATAGAGCAGAAAATAGTTGGACACTGATTTGGGATTTGTACATGCTAAATTTGAGGTGTTCTAGTCAACATCCAAGGGAAGTAAGCAGTTTGACAAGTCTGGAATCAATAAAGCAGTTAAGGTTAAAGATACAACTTTAGGAGTCATTCAAATGCACTTTATCCAAATATATCATAAGAGTAGATGATATTATCCAGGTGTTATTTTGAACAAATAAATCTGAGGAGTTAATCTGGTACACTTCAACATTTATAGATTATGAACATGAGGGAAAATCTTTCAGTAAATGATACTAAGAAGACAGCCAAGCCAGTAGTCTAAGAGGAGAATCAAGAGATGTAAGTGAATGAAGTATTTTTAGAAGGAATGGTCAACTATGTTAAATGCTGTAGATGCTTTAGAAGATAACAACTGAAAATGGGTTTCTTAATTTAGACATATCAGGTCACTGATGATCTTAACAAGAACTGTTTTAGGAGAATGATGGGTATGAAAACTTAATTGGAATGAGTTCAACATGCAAAGAAAAAAATGAAGATAGTGAAAATTCCTCTTCAGAGAAATTTTTCTATTTAAAAAGCAGCAGAATAAAACAATAGTTCAAGGGAAATAGGAGATCAAAAGAGAGGGCGTTTTATTTGATTCAAAGATAGATTGCAAATGTGTATAATGACATGAACAATTCAGATAGCGACAAATGCAGTTTATTTGGATTTAGATGAGTATAAATAGTTCTTACAATGAAATAAAAAGAATATGAGTATACCTTCAGATATATTAGTAGTTGGAGTTAAGAGGAGAAAAAGTTCTCTCTCCCATAAGAATATTTTCTCAGTGGAGTAGAAAGCAAGGGTATCTATCAGCTCAAAGTGAGAATGAAAAAGAAGTGCAGGAAGCTTAGAAGAGAGGAAGAATAAAATATGCTGAGATACTAGGATAGTCATTAGGTCAAGAAAAAATAGGAGACCACAGAGATAATACTAAGACTACTTCACCACAATGGCTAAAAATTTATAAAAGAACAGTGTCATCATGGTCGAGGGTTTTTTCTATAGTCACCTTTAACACTCTGAATGAAGGAGCACATTAAACAAGTTGTGTAACAAACTATGTTGGAAATTTTTCAAATATGAATTACTACTACTACTTCTTTACTATTTGCACTTTATCCTGCTTTATTAGTCATTTTCTTTATACTATACATTAATATCAAATTTCATGCAAAATTACAATCCATTGTCTTTAACTGGGCTTCCTCCTGTGTTTCTTCTGTAAATAGTGAAATTTGACATACTTTTGGAAATTAATACCCTTTTTATTTTATACTTTATAGTCTTTTATTGTTTTACAAAAATATTTTATATTTAAAATATATGTTCTTTTACATACACACACACACACACACACACACACACACACACACACACATATATATATATATATATATGTAAATGTCTATCATTTGTCACTGATATATACCCTGACATTATCATTGGTATTTTTAACTTTCCATTATAAAATCATTAGTATTGCAGGAAAATACTATAAATTCACTTGAGGAATAAATAGATGAACAAAAATAACCAAATATCAAAATGCAGAGCATGGTATGATTTACTTAAGGACAAAGATACATGTTGAAAAAAATCAAGGTATTAACTCCAGTTGGAAATTCCTCATTAGTTTAATTTACAGAGTTTTTTGTTTTGTTTTGTTTTAATGTACTAGGGATTGAACCCAGGGGTTGTTTAAGTCCTCGCTAAATTGCTGAGGTTAGCCTCAAACTTGAGATCCTGTCTCAGTCTTCAACAGCACTGAGATTACAGGCATGCACCATGGTCCCCATTTCAGTTTTTCTAATCTACTCTTCCATCATAAGTCTGCAATCCCAAAATCAATTCTAGGGTTTATTTTAAATAAGATAAGAATAAAAGTAGACTATATACTATAAAACCCAAACAAAAGCATTATTATATCACTCAGATGAATTTGAAATAGGGTGATTTCTCTATGATAGAAGTATGTGCAATATAACACACATACAGTCTAATCAGTGGTTTTCAAAGTATAGATTGCCAGAACAGCAGCATCAACATCA